ATTAAGACTTGGGCTAGGCATTGAAGGTGGATTCTTAGGATAGAGATGATAGCAAGACATTACATCTTCAATCCAAACGAATGAAACAAGGTTTAATTACATCAATACCTCCTTATGATGCTTTCATTTCTTACTCACTATTGAATTTGCAAACATGAAATAATCTGTGAACTGAGTCTACTCAAAAAAGGGCCACAATCTTGTTATTCAAAACACGAGAGTGAACAAACGCTCGAGTTGATGTTGGATAGCCTGATTATTTAGTATTAACAAAACAGAGTAGTAGTGGATAGAACTTTGAGTAGAAAATAAAATTCAGACTATATAATCTGGAGTGATAGGGGTAAATGAACGGTCATGTAGATCCTCAATATTCTAGCCATTGAGCGTAATAGGATGGTATCATGATGCATAAAGTTACAAATAGAAGTTCCAAATTTTGATATTGTCTGAAATTATAAGATGATACCAAGCCACTGATATTCTTGCCCTTATATTCGTTTCCATTAACCTCGAAAACCTTGGTGGCATTCTTATTCTCTTACGCCCCCTTCGTCTAATATGACCAACCCAATTATCTATAGCGGTCTAATTATCTGAAGTTTTGTGTGTCAAGACTCTTTTGAAAATTTCCCTTTTAGATTCCACTCATTCCATACATATTTTGAGAGATTGACTCGAGTGGAATATTGGAATATATTCGAGAGATTCACAGTCCTTCATATATCAAGATCTTGAGCATTAGAAATAAATATACATATAAAAAGAGTTTCGTCTGAAAATCTCCGGGTAGACTGTCTACTCATCATTCCTGGCCTACCGTTCTAGATATTTCATCATTTACATCTCCATTCTTATTAGATCCTATCTTCTATCTTCTTTTCCTCCATATATGAAGTTGGTCGGGCCACTGATTGATCATCCAAAGTATCTTTCAAATCTCCAGATAATTTACTTACCTAGACACAAACCACTAAGATGAAATGTTCGTCTCAATTGCCATAGAACAATCGGCAAGTTAGTTTCTTTTTTGTATCGGCTTATTTAGCTGTGCCATCTTTTTTGGGTTTTCGTGGTTGTTACAACGAACGCTATTTTCTTTTCTGCGATGTACCTCTCGTAGAGAGGGATATTAAAATAATTTGGTAAATTCAAACGATTTAGAACACTGAAAGTTCTTGCATCTTGTCTGCTAGTCCAAACTACCTATTGGAAGCACCGAAATAGTAAAGTGATAGGTGTAGTGTAGGTTGATCACATAAGCAGGGCTGATGAACCCTTTTGATATTGCACTTTAATTTGTAACGCATACTTTTCTTTGTATTTTGACTTCGATTCTTCCCGGATAGATTTAGCAAATCTCGGTGGTTCTTAAGCCGAACATCTTCATGCCGTGATCCTTTGAAGGTAGTTAGGTTTCGTGTTGGTGTCGGGTTGCTTTTTAATAAAAAACAGGCAAACTAAGCTGCCATGATCCAAACGGCATCCCTTTGATATAAGATACCTCAAAGGCAGTAACGATTTCGGGCTAAAAGTTCAACGACTCTTAAAAGTCCTGGGTTATTGTGCAACGAAAAATAGGTTATTATAAGTGGAATGAGTAGATGATCGAACCATTTAATAAAAAAGAGAGACCACTTGAATTCTTTAACAGAGGCTTCCGGTATTATCCAACCTTACTTATTGATGGATTGCTCAAACCGAACTTTTGCAGTGATTAACCAGCGGCAATGAGTATTTTTGGAGAACAAGAACAACTGAGTTTGTACCTATCTTTTGAAGATCAACCAAGACCTCGAACTAAGCTATGCTATGCTTGCAGAAGAGAAATCTTTTGCATCCTTCTTTTTCGTGAAAGTCTCGGCGGGTTGTGGTTGGGAGTGGCAGTGGCCGTGGCCCTTAAACATCCGTCCACTTAGATCGACAACTGAAGATCCCCACTGCCCCACGGAATTTACCCATATCTACCAACATATCTTCAAATTTCAACACTACATTCATCAAACACATCAAACATTGACCATTCGAGCCTCACTCGAAAACACTCTCGGTCGTCTAGTTGGTTTATGACGTCAGACTGTAATTGCATATTGTTATCTGGATGTCGCGCGTTCGACTCGCGCCTGAGAGACTCAAATTTTTTGATATTTTTTGGGGGGCTTTTTTTTTTTGGATTTGCATTGATCTTGAGTTCGTCGTAATTTTGAGAAAGGCGGGGGGGGGTGGGCCACCGGACATCAAACAAAGCAAACACAAGCCCGGTTTGCACGATTGGTTGAGCGTGGGTCTGCAAGCTCCCGACTACCTACCAGGAACAGTGATGTGAGTGAAGATAGCCACTCTGATGTTGTGCTTGAGGGCCTTGAGGGCTAACTGAGCGTCAAAAGTTTCATTTTCTTCCTACTTCCCCCCTCTTACTTTTATGATTTTCTTCCCCTCTTTGCCCCCTCTCCTCTCCTCCCTCTAAAAACCCAAAAAAATGTCGACAAAGAAGTCAAAAAATATTTCTAATGAAGGGAATTGAGCCCAACGGGGGGGTCGAACCCCCAACCTTGTGATTTCAGAAGAACTCATAGATATTGAATCATAAGAGTCACACGCTCTACCGATTGAGCTAGCCGGGCAGGCTTTCTATTTGTTTGATGGAAGTTCTCCCATTCTTTGAGGACTTATAGCGCTACGAGACGGAGGGAAAGTTCTGCAAAAAAATTATTAATTAGCGGCTGATTAGCAGGTGGAGTTCCCAGTTCCAAACTTACTAAGTGGCATCTTCTAAGAAGGAAAAGGGTGGAGAATTCATACTCTTGGACCACTTTTATATCAAAAAAATAAACAAACAACATAGAAAGAACGGACTCCATGCAAGTTGACCTCTTGTGACATTATTGGCCTTGAACTCCTTGATGTTCTTCCCATTTATCTTGCAGCCAAATCTTGAAACTCCGATGCAAAGCTATGCAATATCGTGCATCCCTTTGATGGATCTTCCATTTTGTTTTACTAGCAACTCTGTTCGTGGCGTATTGACACATCAACATACCGAATTCTCATCATCAGATATTGGTAAATATATGA